TAGTAGTAGTAGTAGTAGTAGTAGTAGTAGTAGTAGTAGTAGTAGTAGTAGCAGTAGTAGTAGTAGTAGTAGTAGGAGGAGTAGGAGTAGGAGCAGGAGTAGGAGTAAGAGTAGTAGTCGTAGTAGTCGTAGTAGTCGTAGTAGTAGTAGTAGTAGTAGTAGTAGTAGTAGTAGTAGTAACAGTAGTAGTAGTAGCAGCAGCAGCAGCAGCGGTAGTAGTAGTAGTGGTAGCTGTAGTCGTAGCAGTAGCACTCGCAGCAGCAGTAGTAGTAGCCGTAGCAGTAGCATTAGCAGTTGCAGTAACAGTAGTAGTAGCAGTAGGAGTAGTAGTAGCAGTAGCAGTAGCAGTAGCAGTAGTAGTAGTAGTAGTAGTGGTAGTAGTAGTAGTAGTCGTCGTCGTAGTCGTAGTCGTAGTAGTAGTAGTAGTAGCAGTAGTACTAGTAGTAGTAGCAGTAGTAGCAGTAGTAGTAGTAGTGGTAGTAGCAGTAGTAGTAGTAGTAGTAGTAGTAGTAGTAGTAGTAGTAGTAGTAGTAGTAGTAGTAGTAGGAATGGTAACAGTAATGGTCGTAGTAGTAGTAGTAGTCGTAGTAGTAGTAGTAGTAGTAGTAGTAGTAGTAGTAGTAGTAGTAGTAGTAGTAGTAGTAGTAGTAGTAGTAGTAGTAGTAGTAGTAGTAGTAGTAGTAGTAGTAGTAGTAGTAGTAGTAGTAGTAGTAGGAACACACCTGACGCATTGAGCGGGCGATTTCGGTTTGGGGTTTGGTGGGCGGTTTCCCTATTGGAATTCTATAGGAGGCCTCCCTCTAACACATTGAACGGAATTCCAATAAGAAGGCCTCCGAAGTCTGCGATAGGAGCGTAACAATAATTTCAGAGTGTCTCAAAAGGAATTCCAATAAGAAGGCCTCTCCTAGCTGAAGTGTGAAATACACGAAACCCATACCCGTATCATGCTTTCACACAGCTATGCTGAAGCCCCAACCAAGGTACTGGCCATAAGTGGGCGATCCTATTGGATTCCTAGAAAATTCTTATTGGGTTCCTAGCGAATTCCTGTTAACTTCCTCTCATGTACCTGTTGGATGAAATCCCATTGAATTCCCAGTAGGCCTTCCTGTTGGAATTCCATTGAAATTCTGATTCGATTCCGATTGAGTTCGAATTAAATGCCAAGGAGGCCTTGCGATTAAGATCAAACCTAAATTCCAATTGAGCCTAAAAGGAATCCGATTGGACCCCCACAGAAAACCTCCTCACTGATATACCATTCGGTTTTTAGCGTACATGTGCAGGAATCCGATTGAATTTCAACAGGAGGCCTTCTCAACTGTATCCAATAAGACGCATTCCCATTGGAACCCAATAACAAACCAATGGGGGCCAATCAGAACCCTATTGGAACCCACCTTGGAGTCCTATTGGAATCCAAAAATTGGCGGCCTCCCTATTGGAATCAATTCGGCATCCGATCCGAATCCAAGATGAGCCCTATTGGATTCCAAGAAAAAGACTTCTTATTGGAATCCAGCTGGAATCCTATTGGATGGGGGTCTTTCTACTGGAATCCATGGGGGCCTACGTGAAACCGATTGGTATCTCTCTTTCTCACACCCTTGACCACCCACACACACATCATCCGTTGCGTAAGCATGTTGCACAGCAAGTGTAATGTGTATGTGGTTATCCAGTATGGTGGCGACATTTGCATGGAGCAAGCGTTGTCGACTCAACCAGACCACCGCTTGTCCAGGGACGACGCCTTGAACTGCAGTGCCCAGGTCGCGAGTGCTCTTTCCCTCTGCCACGCCCAGGATGTCGTCCATGGGCAATTGTCTTTGAGGCACGTGGCAGTAGAGATAGCATGGAATCGGCACATTTGCCGCCTTGTGGACTTCAGCATGGCCGCCCACGTTCCAAATTCCAGCACAAGGGAGACCCCGTGCGGATCTCTGCCGTGCGTCGCTCCAGAGACGGCGCTGGAGGAGCCGCTCTTGCTCAAGCCAGCAGATTGTTGGAGTCTAGGTGTGTTGTTCCTGGAGACCGCTTGCGGGCAGGGTTCGCTCGAGTTGCGCGTCCGGTGGCGTCGTGGAGAGACCATCGCATATGCCGCACGGCGGATATTCGAGTTCTTCTTCCAGCATGGTTGCCACCAGGAGGCGATGTCGATTATGGCTAACGTGCACGACGACATGATACTGGCATGCTTGGAGTCGGTGTTGAAGCCCGAGCCAGTTCGCAGAGCAAAGGCGTCCCACATTGTAGAAATGGTATCTGCCAGAAACAGGGGGTAAAATCTCACTGTGGAGGCCAATATTGGTTTGATCTTAAGTTAGTTGCTTTTGCACTTTGGGCGCGCGTGCAGGATTGCATGCAGCTCACAGTTTCACACCTGCTGCTGGAAGCGCCAGATTTTCTGCGCGACGCCGATCCGCGAATTACGCACTGCTCGTGCGCGGAGTGTCCACGAGGCCAGGCAGCCACTCAGGCGAGAGTCTGAATGCAGTGAGGAGGTCCCTCAGCCCAGTGCTCATAAGCGGCTGCCTGCGTCCCTTCCCTCTCCCCTTCCTCGGCCTCCTCCTCCCCCTCCTCTGACTGCAAGGTTGGCGACTCAGGGCGATTTTTGTTGTTTTTAAGCCCTCGCGATGGCTTAGAGTGGACGCCCGAACTCCACGAGCCCGATCCCGATCTCATTGGCGCTGGTCAGCCCCTGCTTGCGCCCCGCAGCGGGGGGGTTGGGCCGAACCAGCGCCATGGATACTCCAGATTTCGTAATAAAAGGGAGGGTGTCTCATTTCGGGGGGGGTCTCTTCCAGGCTATCTTGGAGGGCCTGGGGGGGTCTGGGGACGATGTTCTGGAGGGTTCTCCCACGGGGGGGGGGTCTGAAATGGCTTGTCTTGGAGGGTCCAGACCCCCTCCCTTTTATTACGAAATCTGGAGTACCCCCTCTCATCAGATGATAAGCTGGGACGCCCTCTGACCGCCGGACGCGGAGGTGCTTCCTCACTGGCGCAGGACGCTCAGGAGTGGTGCCCCGTCCGTGCGGCGGCCACCAAGGCAGTGGTCTGGGCGACCCGATTTAACACACGGGCTGATGCCCGCGATGAAGTTTTTTATTTGCATGCTATCCGCTCGAAGTGGTCACGCATGACTTATACGGTAGGTTTGCGTCGTGTCGACCAGCGGCGACCCCAGCGCGGGCGTTCAAGGCTGAACGCCGCCGGCGACCCAGAATCGATCGATGTTGAACGATCGGACGTTGCGGCAGCGGCCGATCGTTCAAGGTTGAACGATCCCTGCGGTGTCAAACACCAGCGCTGGGGTCGGCACGGCACGAACCTGCCGTACTGCGGAGGAGTGCCGCGCAGTACACCTTATGCGATGCTTAAGAAAACTTAATTTTTCGGCCAGAGTCTCGATTATTCTTAATGTTTCAACGGAAATCCTCAGATTATAATAGAAATGTTGGGTGTTTAGTCAAGTTCTGAGACTATGAATTTCTTAACCCATGATTTCTTAAGCATTTCGCAAGGTGTAGTGCCCAGGGCCAAAAGAAGCTCGAGGGGCAGACAGCGGCGTGCCCCCATTATACCCCGCGCGCGCTTCCTCACGCGCTTCCTCAGTTGGATGGGGCGAAGGGGGAGGAGGAGGAGGAGGAGGAGGAGGAGGAGGAGGAGGAGGAGGAGGACCCCCCCCTCCAACTTATGGTGGTGGTGGTGGAAAACACGCTCATCAGTAGTGCCCGGGGCCAAAAGAAGCTCGAGGGGCCAACAGCGGCGTGCCCCCATTAGACCCCGCGCGCGCTTCCTCACGGGCGTGGGCAGTCCGTGAGCGGTGCCTCGCCCGTGCGCGGCGCCGACGGCAGGCTCCGGCCGGCGCAGGGAGTGTGCTAATTCGACGGAGCAGCTCGAGCTGTGGGGCTGGCGGGAGAGATTCGGGGGCGGAAAAGAGGGGGTTTTTCGTCATTTTCGGGGGCGAAATCGAGACAAAGGTTTTTCGTCGTTTTCGGCCTCTGGAGGCCCTCGCCGGGCCTCGGGGCCGTCAAAAAACGACTCGGGATGAAAAACCGGTCCCGGGGAAGTGGTCGGGAGGTTGGGGGCCCGCGTCTCGAAAAAATCGAGACGTCGGATGTCTGGGTAGTCGGGGGCGGAAAAGAGGGGGGTGATGACAAGGGGGGGGGGGTGGATATCATGGCGGGGGCCATGATATTTCCCCAGATCTCATGGCGCCTCTTCTTGTTTCATTACGTCCCTGGCCCCCCCGCTGGGCCGCGCACATGCCGCAGGTCATGATTTGCACCCCCCCCTCTTGGACACCCCCCTCTTGGCCGCTCCCGAGAGATGGGGTCGGTCGCTGCTGGAGGAGAGTCCACGACGGGACGATTGCAGGTCTCGGCATGTCACCAGCCACCAAACCACCCCAACCCAACCCGAATCGGGGGACGAAATCTATACATATCCACTGCTCCCTGGCCAGGCCCATCCTGAACCCAGGAGCTGTGTATACGCCCTCCTGGCCAAACCAGGAGGGCGTGGCGTATACACAGCTGCTGTGTTCAGGATGGGCCTGGCCAGGGAGCAGTGGATATGTATAGATTGCGTCGCCCTACCGAAGGCCTCAATTTGCCCTCCATTTCCTGTTGGGGGGGGGGTCGGGGAACACTGAAAAAACACATATGGAACCCCTACCCCCCCCCCCCACCCGAAATGGGGGTCTTCGGGTTGGGTTGGGGTGGTCTGGTAGGTAGTCAGCATGGCGGAGCCCATGTGAGGCGGAGTGGACGGCGGTCCGTCTGCAGATAGGTTTCACCCCATTTAACTCACGGGCTTACACCCGCGATGGCAGTTTTGATTTGCTGGACTTCGGGTCGAAGTGTTCACACATTACATATACTGCGGAGGAGTGCCACCCAGGGCCACATTCGGAAAAAAACATGTTAGCTCTCTCTCACTCTCTCGTCCACTCTCTCTGTTTCCCTCTCTATGTGTCTGCGCGCGTGTATATGCATACTCATGTTATGTATGTATATATGTATATATGTTTGTATCGGAGGTTGGGGGGTGAGTCCGACGTGAAACGGAGACCCCCCCTACCGGGAAATCGATTTCGGTTTCGGGTTCGTGCCGTGCGTGCCGTGCGTGCGTGCGGGCGAGAAGAAGCTGCGTGGGCGGGCGAGAAGAAATCCTCCTGTGGCTGGGCCGCGGCCAGATCAACTGTTCCTCCTCCGGCGGCCGGTGCCGCGCGGTGTCCCGCCGGTGTCCCGCTGGTGTCCCGAAATCTTCCTGTGGCTGGGCCGCGGCCGGACCAAATGTTTCTCCTCCGGCGGCCGGTGCCGCGCGGTATCCCGCCGGTGTCCCGCTGGTGCCCCGTGGTGTCCTGTGGTGTCCCGTGGTGTCCCGTTGAGTGAGATCGATCGTGAGATCGATAGTGAGATCGATATTGAGATCGATGTGGTGCCCCGAGGTGTCCCGTGGTGTCCCGTAGTGTCCCGTTGAGTGAGATCGATCGTGAGATCGATAGTGAGATCGAGAGGTGCCCCGAGGTGGCCCGTGGTGTCCCGTGGTGTCCCGCTGAGTGAGATCGATAGTGAGATCGATAGTGAGATCGACAGGTGTCCCGAGGTGTCCCGTGGTGTCCCGTTGAGTGAGATCGATAGTGAGATCGATCGTGAGATTGATAGTGAGAACGAGAGGTGTCCCGCGGTGTCCCGTGGTGGCCCGTGGTGTCCTGTTGAGTGTGATCGATAGTGAGATCGATAGTGAGATCGATTGAGTCAGATGTTGGTTCCCCCCGCTCTCCCCCCCCTCACAACCTCCTTATCACCCGAAGGGTGGTCGTATAGGTATATGTGTATATATATATATATATATATATATATATACATACTAGAACCACGCGAGCGCTTCGCGCGCACTTAGGTTGTAGCGGGCCCCAGGCCTTGACGAATTCACTGTTCCACTGAACCAGTGGACCACAGACCGGTTTGAAGGGGAAGTGAAGGAGTGCCCAAAACTTTGAACGCATTATGGGTAATGGGACGTCCACGCATGTCAATCCATCTTCCGGAACGCTTCCGGGGAAGATCGTTGCGTCGGGGGTTGGAGGCCTGATGAATCGGGTTCCCAGAAGACCTTCTGGGAACATGGTTTTTGGTAGCGTCTTGGGAAGCCTGTTGGGGCGCGCCGTCGTCGTCGTCCTCGCAATGCCGTCGCCGCTTGGGGCGCGCCGTCGTCGTCGTCGTCGTCGTCGTCGTCGTCGTCGTCGTCGTCGTCGTCGTCGTCGTCGTCGTCGTCGTCGTCGTGTTCGTTGTTCGTCGTTCGTCGTTCGTCGTCGTCGTCGTCGTCGTCGGATGGATGGACCCCTCTCAGGATCTGTTCAGCGCAGCTTCTCGATCCAGGTCGAAGCCCGACGGCCCCAGGGCCCGAGAGCGGCCCCCGAAGACAGAACGCGCCGAACAGCCGTTGCTGACATCGAAGTTCGAAGTTCGTCGTCTTCGTCGCTGCCGCCGCCGTCGTCGTCTTCGTCGTTGGCAGACGTCGGCAGAGAAGGCGGTCAGCCGTCGTCGTCGTCGGCAGAGAAGACGTTGTCGTCGTCGTCGGCAGAGAAGGCGGTCAGCCGTCGTCGTCGTCGTCTTCGTCGTCGGCAGAGAAGACGTTGTCTTCGTCGTTGGCAGACGTCGTCTTCGTCGTTGGCAGACAGCTCTCCGGTAGCGTGATGGTACTTCGGAGCCTCCAGAGACTCTCGAGCTTGAAAAAAGCTTTAGGCACGGATTCCTGAGGGTTCCTGAGGATTCCTGAGGATCTTTCAGGATTCAGGTTGATCTCTCAGGTTCCCGCAGGATTCCCGAGGATTTCTCTCAGGATCTCTGAAGATGTCTCTCAGGATTCCTGAAGTCTGGATTCCAGAGGATCTTTCAGGATTCACCGGAATTCTTGAGGTCAGGATTTCTGGGGATTTCTTTGGATTCACCCGGATTTCTGAGGAACTCTCCGGATTTCTCCGGATTCCTGAGGATCTTTCAGGATTCCTGAGGGTCTCTCAGGATTCCCACGAATTCCGGGGGATTCCTGAGTCAAGATTCCCCGAGTCCCTGAGGATTCATGAGCGTTTCAAAATTCCCCGACTTCCTGAGGTTCTCTCAGGACTCCCCCGAATTCTGGAGCATTCCTGAGTCAGGATTCCCCGAATTCCTGAGGATTCATGAGGGTCTCTCAAGATTCCCCGAATTCCTCAGGATTCCTGCAGGTTTTGCAGGATTCCCCCGAATTTCCGAGGGTCTCTCTGGATTACTTCGAATTCCTGGGCATTCTTGAGGTTCTGAGGATCTCGTAAGATCTCTGAAGATCTCGTGAGGTTTCTGAAGGTATCTTACTCTCGTTGAAGATTTCGCAGGATCTCTGAAGATCTCGTAGGATCTCTGAAAATGAGATCTCTGAAGTGGTTGGGATTGGGACCTTCTCTGGTTGCAATCCACTCCGAACGGTTGGAATTGGGACAAGTCGGTTGGGATCCGTCCCATTTCCGGGACCCCCCCCCTGTCATCCTTGTCCACAGGGGGGATTTTGGGGCCGCCGGACCCTGGGGGCCCTACCCCTCTCCCCCCTGCCCCTCCCGGGCACTCCCCCCCCGTCAGGGAGGGGAAAGCTGGAGGGCATCGACTGATCTACGACGTTTCTTTTCTCTGTTCGTTTTTGCATTTCGTTGGGACTGGCGACGACGACGACGACGACGGCGACGACGACGACGAAGATGGCGACAGCGTCTCACACGCGACGAAGGGGTCGGCGGATGACGGGAAGCGTCTTCGAGGTTTTTCGAAGCGAATTGGTCGTTATGGCTGAATCAGTATTATATCGCAGAAAGTTCTTATTAATATAGGGTGGCGGATTGCACAGTGCTCAGGGCCAGCGGATGACGAGAAACGCGCTTAGAAGGCCCTGGCTCGAGCGATTGTAGCGTTTTTCTCGTGTCAGCGGGGTCGCAAGCCCCCGCGCAGCATGATTCTCATTCGATGGCGGGACATGTTGCTTCTCTTCTTAACGCCATCGGTGGCCGAAATACCCAACGCTGGAAGGCCGAGCGTTCGGTGGCGGCACGACCACCGTGGAGCTCCGTTTCGTCGGATGTCACTCATGACGGGCGCGAGCCAGAGCACAGCATGAGGAGCTATCACCGCGCCAGCCGGCCAGTGGCCGCCAGGGGGTGGCCATGGGTCAGGGCCCTGCATTCGGAAGACCAGGACGTTGCGGCAAAGCTAAGCTCAGTGTGGATCCATCTTACGGTGCGACACAAACGAACGGATGGGCTCTGGCGCACGGGTCGGTGTCTGATGTTTCTTGCCACGTGGGACAATGTACTCACCACGGTGGTGCCCCAGTACGGATGTTTGGCTCGAGTCCTTTGCAGATGGCGTCTACCCTTGTTCCCGCTGTAATTGTACCTGCTAAGCGGCGCCTGTCGGCGCGTACTAAGTGCTTCCTCGACGACGTGGATCTCCAGACCATTTCACGAGCGAGGTCTACACTGTATCGGAAGGCACGTACCGCGTTCACCAGGTGGCAAATATGCGACACTTACTCGTCTCGGTGGTGCGGCTTCAATTCGGTCAACCTGCGCTGGTTCGCTGCGGACTACAGCTCACAGTTCAACGATCTCAGGGTGCGCGTGTCTACGGCGTCCGGCAACGTCCAGCGCTCCAGCCGTGCCAAGTGCTGCACCGATCATAATTTTGTTCAGTATTTGGTGTGTTTACAACGCCTGCGCTAGACTGCTGTCTCAATTCCTAGGCCCGCTGCTTGGTGACTTAGAGTATGGCTCGGCCTGCGTCCGCAGGCAGGTAGTCGACCTGACTGTCTGTCGCCTCTGCGCGTCCCACGTCGAGCGTTGCCGACTTCGCATCTGATGGTAAGGGCGGTCTTCGTGGCACTGTGCTATGCTTATCCTGCACGCTGCGCGCTGCACCGTCTGAATCCACGGCCTGCCGCCAGCGCTCGGCCAGGGGGCCGTGTTCTGCCGCGCGGGCTTTCCACCAGTGGGTGATAGCCTCGTATGCGACGTCTGCGGACGCGCGCGCTAGTCGGTCCTGTGGCTGGCGACGTGGGAGCTCGCGAGGCCTCTCGAGTAGGGTTGCGTCTTCAAGACAGCGCGCTTAGACTCGAAGAGTCGCGCGCTGGGCGCCGGCGCGGGCCCGGGGGGGAATCTCATCAACTGGGGGGAGTTTGAGGGGGGAAGATCTCGGCGTTGCTCTCTGATTAAGACCTGGGGCCTCCTGCGCCAGCGCCCATGGCCTGGGAAGCGCAGTCCCCGGGGGGGCGGGGGCCTTCGCATCTCGCGGATGCGATGCGCCGACGCTCCGCGCCGCCCTGGAGGAGGACAATACCGAGAACGACCAACAGCAGGTCCAGGTGGCCTCGGAGGCGGTGGCCACTGCTGGCGAGATGGCCCCCCTAGTGCACCCGTGCCACGCGGAGCGCTGCTTCGTGGTAGAGCGCCAGGACAGCTTGAAGGATGGCAAAGTTCGCTGGATCGGAGCGACTGACCGCCACCGCGCGCTGATCGCACCCATCCCGCAAATCTGCTGGGCGCTGAAGTGGCAGGAGCTCGCGGGACTTATGATCGACGACGACCATGCCCCTCGCACCGCGCCGTGGGCTCAAGGAAGTGAAGTAGTAGATTGGGATGTTGGGTTTACTTCAGGTCAGTGCACCAGGTTGCATGCGCCAGCGTTCACTTCTTCAGTGGGGCCTGCTGCAGGCGCCTTTTTTTCCCTCTTCCCAACGCTTGTGCCTCTTCGTCCGCCCCCCTTCCTTCTCGGCCCGCTGCGTTAGTGGCTTTGAGTTTGGTTCGGCCGGCAGCCCTGCCCTTGCGCGGCCTGGGGCGTTGTCGGCTTCGCATTCCTGGCAAGGGCGGCTCCCGCTATGCTGCGCTA